AATACAATATTGGCACATAGCATACTAAAACATGAAAAAGATAGTGCACCATGATCAAGTGAGGTTCATCCCAGGTATGCAAGGTTGGCTCAACAAACAGAAATCAATAAATGTAATTCATCACATTAACAGACTTACAGGCAAAAATCACATAATTATCTCAATAGATGCATAAAAAGCATTTGACAAAATTCAGCATCCACTCGTGTTCAAAACCCTAGAAAAATTAGGGATAGTAGGAACTTACCTCCACATTGTAAAAGCTATAGATGTTAAACCAAAGGCTAACATCATTCTAAATGAAAAAAAAATTGAAAATATTCCCTCTAAGAACTGGAAGAAGGTAGGGACATGCCCTCTTTCCCTAGTCCTATTCAACACAGTCCTTGAAATCCTGACCAGAGCAATTAGAAAAAAGAAATAATTTAGAGGGATACAAATAGTAAAAGAAGAACTCAAAATATCCCTATTTGCCAACAACACAATTCTATATTTAAAAGACCCCAAATACTCCACCAGAAAGCTTCTTGAACTTCTAAATGAATTCAACAAAGTAGCAGGATATAACATTAACATGCATCAATCAACTGCATTCCTGTTTACCAATGATGAATCAGCTGAGAGAAATCAAGAAAACTCTTTCTCAATAGCCTTGAAAAAAATAAACCTAACATAAGATTAAATAAATCTAACAAATAAATAAATTTTAACAAGATAAAATAAATTTATCAAATGCATCTAACATAAGAGGTGAAAGACCTCTACAATAAAGATTTTAAACACTAAACAAATTGAAGAAGGCCCTAGAAAATGGAAAAATTCCAAAGATTTCTTGGAAATGCAGAATTACTAATATCAAAATGGCCATACTACACAAAGCACTATGCAGATTCAATGCAATTACTATTAAATTCCAATGACATTCTTCATAGAAATAGGGAAAACAATCATGAAATTTATTTGGAAAAATAAGAGGCCCAGAATAGCCAAAACATCCTTACCAAGAAAATAATATGGGAGGCATTACAATATCAGACCTTAAATTATGCTACAGAGCCATAGTAACAAAACTGTCATGGTATTGGCACAAAAACAGACATGAAGACCAATGGAGCAAAATAGCAGACACAGAGACAAACCCACATAAATATAGTTTATCTCATATTGGACAAAGGTATCATAAACATATATTAGAGAAAAGATAGCCTCTACAACAAATGTTGCTGGGAAAACTGGAAATACATATATAGAAAATTGAAATTAAACACATATTTCTCACCCTGTACAAAACTCCAAACAAAATAGATCAAAATCTAGGCATTAGATCAGAGACCCTGTGCCTACTAGAAGAAAAAGTGGGCACAAATCTCCATCGTGTGGGCTCAAGAACAGACTTTCTGAATAAGACTCTGAAAGTACAAAAAGTAAAATCAAGAATCAATAAAAGGGATGGAAACAAACTAAAAAGCTTCTTCAAAGCAAAGGAAACAACAAAGAGCAGGAACATAGAGCCTACATATATGAGAAAATCTTGACCACCTATTCCACAGATAGAACATTAATCTCTAGGATATACAAAGAACTCAAAATTTAACAACAACAACAACAACAAAAATAAAATAACCAATAAAAATAAATAACCCAATTAATAAACGAGCAAAGGAATTGAACAGGCACTTCACAGAAAAAGAAATACAAATGGTCAAGAAAAAATGTTAAAAAATCTGCAATTTGGGAAATGCAAATTAAAACTACACGGAGACTTCATCTCACTACAGTCAGAATGGCAATTATCAAAAATGCAAGTAACAATAAGTGTTGGCAAGGATGTGGGAATTTTTTTTCAAAGTCTAGAGGATATCTGCAGAAGATTTGAATAAGCTGGGAAAAAACGAGCAAACTTGAAGATATATCATTAGAGAGGACACAATTTAAAGAAAGAAGAAAAGCTAAAAATGTCTCTGAGAAATATATAATCCAATATGGAGGACTGGGATGGATTCTTATTTCCATTTAAAAAAGAACATTGACAAACAGTTCTTTGAACATTACTTGCATCGAATTCCCTTTCACTTTCTTGGACTCCAATACTAGGAATCAAATAATTTTTTAAATATTTCATATACTTTCTTTCATGGGCCTTTTTTTATGCTTTATTACGGGTGTTTTTAAACTGACATGTCTTCCAGTTAAGTAATTTTGTATATCTGACTGTCCAATCAACTATTAAACTGATCTACTGAGTTCTATTTACAATAATTTTGAGTTGGAAAATATCAATTAGATAATTCCTAAATTCACTGAAGATATTCTACATTTTCTTACATTTTGTACATATTCTCCTATTTTAACATACATTAATCATGATCATAGACTCATGTATTGTTTCTCTACATTCTGAATCATTTTGGAACTTCTAAGAGTTTGTTCTTTTATCTCCTTACTCGATTTTTTAAAAAAATTCTCTAATAGCAAGTCAGGTTTTTTCCTTTTACCATGGGTTTTAGCCTATTTTCTGCTGCTATCACATAATACTAAAAATTGGGTAATTTACAGAGAAAATAAGTTTATTGCTCATGATTCCGGAAGTTGTGAAATTATTGATTGAAGGCTGCATGTGATGAGGCCTTCCTGGTGCATCAATCCATGATGACAGATGGAAAGGACAGAGTTGATGCAAGAGAGAAGGAGATTGCTTTTATGAGAAAGGCAATCCTGTGATAACTGTACCACTCCCATAATGAAGGCTTTAATCTGTCATGATGGTCCTGCCTAAACATCTCAGAAAGGCTCACCTCCAAATACCATTATAGTGACAATGAAATTTCAAAATGAATTTTGGAACAGACATTTGAACCATAACAGCAAGTGTAAAAATATTTCGCTGTATGTTGGTAATTATACATTGAATCACCAAGGGCTCCACTACAATTTCCCATTTCCTGGGTTGGGAAGATGGACTAAGGAGCTAATTACTTAAATCAATCATGGATTAAGCTAGGCCAGAGGTGAGCAAGCTTTCAATAAATCTTGGACTAATCTTTACTTATAGAGCACTGCTCAGATATGGACCTGCTTGACTTTCACTTGGGAGTGTACATGACACAAATGCTCAGCTTTGAAGGATTATGGGGATCAATCTCTACCATCCAAATGTTCACACTGTACCTCTTCAGCCTTCAGTGAAATGAAAGGCCAGAATCCAATTAAATGTCTTAATGGAAAAACTGAATGTGCTTGAGACAAGCCACTTCGCTGTGTTTTGTGTAAAAAATATAACATGGATTTAGGAAAATATGCCTTTTAGAAATTTCAGAGTAGCTCACCAACATCTCACAATGCAGAAGAGACTTTGGGGAAAATGATTACCAGTGGAAGTCCCCCAAATGTCTACTTCATGAATGCAGGCCTGGGAAGTAACTAAGAGAATTGGAGTTTATCTGCTTCTCAGCAGAGTTCCTGTCCTCCTATGGGGCCAAACCTCCTCCTCTATTCACATCCAGCATCCACTAGTTCTGCAGAGAAAAGACACCTGTCGATACTCAACTCACTTCACAATTGTGTTCCAGTTGGAAAATTTAGTTCATTGAGTCCTCCTTGCCTCCCCAGCTCTCTGATGACCTCAAAGTATGGTTTTGAAGGTTTCATTGGAGACCTCTAGGTCTTTTTCCCCAGAGAAAACAAAATTTGCCAAGACTTATTCCATCCTACATACAAAAATTGTAAATAACTTCTTCATCCTATTTTGTAATCAAAGGCGCAAAGGAATTGTGTGGGAACTGCTATTGTCCTGTCTATAGATTGCAAAGACATTCTTCCTAAGTTTAAATCTTTTTCCCAAGGGGGTAAAGGGCAGTAGTTAAAAAAAAATCTCTGATGTCTGACTCCTTCCTGTGTTCTCCATCATACCAAGGTAAGTTTTATAGCCCCCAGAATTCAGTCACAAAACAAGAAACCACACCCCTGAGATAACCACAAGTTACTAAGTAGAAGGCATAGCTGTCACCATGAGGACTGGAGATCAATGGAAAGAGGTCAGATATTCACACCCAGATATTGGGAATAGGTTCTATGATTCTAGGACCCCAACCTCTGAGGACAGGTACAGCCAAGTTGGTGCTGGAACCTCTGGAATCTGGCAGAGGGCTCAGAGAACCAGGACCCAGGGCTCTGAGGATAAGTTGTTTGGTAGCTTTGGGGCTGTATCTCTGGGGCTGATGATACTTTTGCTTCTGGAAGTTCCTAAATATACATAGGAATAATGTACAGACTGAAAACTACTGCAGCTGATTTTTAGATGAAAACTCTAAGTGAGATGATGCTGATGCAAACTTCAAGCAGTTCCCACAGATATCCAGTCTCCCTGTGGCTCCCCCAAGGGCAGAAACTGCTAGGGAGGACTGCAAAGAGGTGTGATTTCTGAGTTTCCTCTCTCCCTGTGACACAGCAGAGTGATGAGAGATGGGGAGTACACACACACAGTCTCTCCCTCTCTCCTCTCTCTCTCTCTCTTTCTCTCTTTCTCTCTCTCTCTCTCTCTCTCTCTCTCTCTCACACACACACACACACACACACACACACACACACACACTTGATCTAATCATGCAGTAGGCTCAAGAAACACAAAGAAGTATTTTCATGAACAATAAACCACTCTGACTAATATTTGGTGGTAGAATGGTTGCCTAGCATGTGCAAGGCTCTGAAATCAATCCGCAGTGCAGTAAACATTAAAAAATAATGAAATCAGCACAGAGGCAGTGGTGCACACATGAAATCCCAACAGTTTGGGAAGCTAAGGCAAAAGGATCGCAAGTTCAAAGCCAGCCTTAGCCAAAGCAAGGTGCCAAGCAACTCAGGGAGACCCTGTGTCTTAAGAAAATGCAAAATAGGGCTGGGGATGTGGCTCAGTGGCTGAGTGCCCCTGAATTCAATCTCCAGTACCTAATAAAAGAAATTAGAAAACCTACTAAAATTGCTTGAAATAATGATAAGTAGGAAACTGTTATTAATTACATGTATTATGGTGAATGCTTATGATCCTGAAGCAATGATCTCTGGGCCTTCCTGACAGTGGTTTCTAACATTTGCAGTAACATTTCTACTTCCAGGATAATAAATGTTAATGCATGGGAAATTTCACTGAGGATTGGGATTATTTTTTGAAAATGTAAAAATTTTGCTCTTCTATCTCAAGTAAAGTTTATATATTGAGCTCTTCTTTGTCAAGTAAAGGGTAAGTTTGAACACACAGCTATTCCATCTCAGGTGAAGGTTGCACATTTCCCTCTTCTTTCTTAGGCGTTGTTTATAGGTTCGCCAAAATCAAAAGTAACACAATCAACATCAAAAGACAAAATGGAAATAAAAAAATAAGTGGTGCTGGGAAATTCTTCTTTGGCCTAGCTCTCTTCATTACTATTTTCCCAGGGGGTGGGCCACTGTCAACACTCCCTCCATAGCCTTTTTCTGTGCAGTTCGGGGGCTCCCAGTTAGGGTCACAATGGCAGTGATGTTTGTTGTTGCAGATCCCTTTCATAGCACAGGTCTCTGGTGAACAATCACTTGCCCACAATGACATAGAGACACACTTCCGGTGTATGCACACTTGTCCATTACCACACTCTGTGCCATCTTTCACATCACCAATATCTGGTATGGTCATCCCAAAATGATAGTCGGTACCCCAGCAGGTCACACCATTGAAGTCCATCCAATGCACAGTAGTGTGACTTCTCAAAGAGGGAATTTCTTTCACATTCTCACACTGAACTCTTCCACAGAGGAAATCTGATATGTTACACATAACATAGTGGTCATCAATGATACCACAGTTACCAAAGCGGTCACCTCGGCTGTTCATTTCTTTGTAGCAACTCTCCTGTGCACTCCTGGATTCTTTGCCAAAGATCTGTCTGCACTGTTCATCACGTGCATTGCATCTCTTCTCATGGCAATACCCACTGCCCATGCAACGAACCCCATCCTGCACATACACATCTTCTGGACACTCAGGTGAGGTACCACTGCACCACTCTGGAAGATCACACTCACTGACATTTTCTCTACATACTTGACCTGGTGGCAAGAGAAGGCAGTCTTCACAACAAAGCCCAGAAGCACATTCAGCCCCATTTTTCAGAGTGCAACTTACTGAACAACATGGATGGTTTGAACACAAAATTGGGGGTCCACAGTCACACTCCTCTCCTTCTTCAACCACACCATTCCCACAGACATTCCCCCTGAAGATGTCCATTTGTTTTGGTGCATTGCGCAAACAGTTCATAAATGGAAAGTTTTCCCACATATAAGCGTAACTGCAGTTGCTGAATCTTGTGCCATCTGATTGTTCTTCAGACATTATACAATGGCGTTGCCCACATTTACATATCCATACATCATGGAACATACCCAGATTATGACCCACCTCATGTGCAGTAGTAAGTGAAAAATCAAACAGATAATCATTCGTGAGACTTTCCACTCCACATTCCATACCAGGTATGCAAACAGTTGCAATATAGGCTAAGCCAAGATGTATACCAAAATCTTGTTTTGCCCAAAAATGTACAAGATCATGTTTTTTGCGCGATTCAAGGCTGATTCTCTTCCAATTGCAAAACTCATCCAGGAGTCTAAATATGTTATTAGTCACTTTGATAAAGTTCTTTTCATTCCAGACCTCAATTCCAAGTAAACTCAAATTAACATCCAATTTACTTAAAAGGGAATGTACATTGTTGAGAATGACAAATGCTTCCTGTACCACAAGTGAAACATTACTTCTCTTATACAGGAATCGCTGATAGTCTACAACCAAAACTGTTTCAAGATACCATGTGTGGGTCCACCACCCTTCATAGCCACTTTGCTTCAGATTGGAATTATCACTCCTTTGCAGTGTCAGTTGTCGTGCTAGTTCTTCTTCTGTTAGTCCACATCTGTGGGGCTGGAATTGTGTCTTCTCTCTGTGCATCTTATAAACCAGATGTTCAAATGTGGTAGAAAATCTCCTGGGTTTGATTTCATAAACATTGTCACGGATCTCTAACATACCTTGAAAGCCCCCCAAACAGGCGCTCAGAGCAACCAGGGATTCTGGGTCCCCTTCCACATACCCATGATAGTAGCAGTCACTCTGGACAAAAGGGTGGTCCTCATGCAGAGCACCCTGCTTTGTGTAGGTGAACACAGAGAAGGGTTTGGACACCAGAAGTTTCTTGGCCTTCATGTGGACAATGTGTTTTTTGCCTCCAAAGTGCAGACTGTAGGAGATCCAGTCAGGGGGTCTCAAGCCTCTATGGGTGCCAGTTATCCTCAAGGGTATCACTACTTCTGGGGGGCTGTAGTGTTGAGAGTGCCCGATCTGGACCCATTCAGAAAGGAAGAGCAATATTCCCAGGTAGAGCTGCAGGACAGTGATCCTCATATGCACTAGGGCCTCACCCACAGCCATCATGGTTTATGACTGGAGGCAATGGGGCAGGGCAGGAGGTGCTGTTGTCCTGTCTCCTCCCTTTGACTTGGTAGCAAGCAGCAGTGACCTTTAATTGGATGTCTTCTGGCAGAGTCAATCCATCAGAGCAACACAACTAAAAGAAAAAATGAAAAGAAGGGCAGAGATGGGGTGGCTAAATTATGAAAAGTCTAAGGTGGAGAAGAACAGCAGGGTATTGGTTAAAATGCATTAGTGTTTGGTTTAGGGTATGACTCCATATAGTGCACTGGATTTGCTCTTTAGTTTTGGTGAGGTGGAGTCAGACTGTGGGAGTTGAAAAGAATGACAACTGCCCATTGGTTGAAAATTGCCATACACAGACGGAGGACTCGTGGGTTCATGAACCATTCTCTAAATACATGTACAAGTGGGAACATTTTCCCAATAAATATTTAAAACCAGAGTCTGAGTGAAAAGCTGAATATATACCTTGTTTTGATGAGGAATTACAATATATACAAATTGACTTGGAATAAATAATAATTGGTTGTCTTTCCTATATCAAATGACTATTTACACACATTACTCAGGAGAAATATGCAAAACAATTTTATATACATTACTTTTCTTGATGATCCTTAATATGGGCTTCCATGCAACTAATTATGATTTGTATGATCTTCCTCCAATTCTGTCGGATTTCAATGTCAAAGCACCAATTGTCCTTCAAAGGTATTGAAATCTGCTTGTAATGGATATTTTCAGGCATAAAGCAAGCAATAGTGGAGTTGGAAGGGGGAACACATAACTTGGTTTTGTTACTGAAAGGTGTTTTATGGGATTACACTCATACAAAAAATAATATTTTCAAAATCTCTGGCTGCATATAAAGAAAAGTAGATCAAACTAGCTGGAAGAGGAACAGAAATAGGGAGATTGGGAGCAAAATAAAGCCTCTTGATATGAAAAGGAAATCAATGAACCCTAGGAGAATGGAGGAAAGCTTCAGTGCAGGTGATGTTGTACCAGAGCATAGGCATCAAAATCCCTGGCATTTCAGGATCCTGAGGAAACTGCTCCAAGATCAACCTTCCCATGGATTTGTCTCAGAAATTAGAAAACCTACAGAAATAGAGATTAAACAATCATTTTGAGAGTACAAATATCCTATGATGAATGAGTGCAAATGAGAAATCTGATAAAAGCACAATTCCTGGCTGACAATACTGATTTGTTGCTTTGTTATCAAGCAAAGTAGGAAATGTACTGCAGAATATGCAGATACTGTGCAGCATGCCTGGGAAATATCACAGGATGATACAGGTAAATGATGTGGAACATAAATTTCCACAGTGGTTGCAGTGAAGATATACTTTAAGAATCTGTTAGATTGCATTCAATACTTTCCAGTTAAAATGCCTGTTTTTCTTGTCCTTTTGAGAGTATCCATAGTTTTCATGACATCATTAAAGCCATGATAACTTAAAAGTGATGACATTAAGAACCATCACGCTGACTGGGGGAGAAAGAGAAACAATGGCAGTAGAGGAAAGTGGAATCTGTGACAAGGGATCTAAAACACAATGATCAAACACCACTTTCCACAATTGGGAATTCAAACACAAAAGTGTCTGTATTCAAAACCATTCTCCTCTTGGACCCATTTCTCCTTAATTTTTCTTTGTTCTTGATTATAAGTTCTTTGAGCTTTCTCTCTCTTTAAAATAATTTTCCTATCACTCACTAAACACAGCAACAGACTTTCCTCTGGTGAAACTTCGTTATGGAGAACTCCTTTTTCTTAGTTTATTTTACAAATTTTTTTTGAGTCAACAATTTGAAGCACATATTGGAGGTGACTTAGTTTTTCAGAAACCCACTCTGTCATACAGGCCAGATTATCAGTCATAACTTGCTTTTGTTGCCAAAGCCACTTCCAAACCAAAAAACTAGCAGTTATCCCCTCCAACCTTTATTCCCATTCTTCCCAGTTCTTTCAACAACCTCCTGATCAATGCTGCACAAGCCAGAAAGTGTTGGGTGTCTACTGCTTCTTTCTTCTCCATCAACAACCTTATTCATGCTCTCACTATGTTAAGCAAGATTGTGGGAAACCCACAAGCTCCCAGATGTGTTTGTTACTGTTCCAACTTGTGCTCAGCCACCTTTAGCAATTGACAGCTATGTTCTATATCATGTCATTATGCTTGAACATCTCAACTCTCACATATTTATTAGCCATAACTTTATTCTTAAGTAAAAGTTACTCATCAGCTTCACAGAGGACACACAAAAGGTTTCCTTCCATGTTTTCTCACTTTTCAAGTTTTCTTCATTGACCTGTCACCTCCATAACCCAACTCTAGTTTCTATCGGTTCAACCACTGTTGACCAAAGAGCTCAACCCAGTCTAGATTAATGCTTTCACTACTGTGACAACACACTGTCAAGACTTCTGGGGAAATAAATTGCAGCAGTCTATTTAGGAGGATGGGTATAAAGGCTCAAGACACATGATACTAGAAAAAGGTAGCCTGATATCTCACCCTAAAGAATGAAGTTACAAACAAATATTGATTTTAAATACTTCCATCCTTTTAAAAATCTGTGCATTTTGTCCACATATTTCCCCAAATTTCTGGGTTTTTTTCCTCAATTTCCTTTTTAATGGGTAGGACTCTCAACTGAAAATCAATATTGTTTTATCTTTGCAATTTGTTATGATTATCAAATTGCATAATGCTAATTTAAGTTGTAAATGAAGAATTTTTCACTTAGTGCTATTTAATTCAGGATCAAGTGATTTTCTTTTCTTTCCTTTGTCATTTCACATAAGTAGCAGGGGACCTGTCCGAGGTTACATACAATCCTGATCTTTAAAATGAGAAGAGCACCTTGATTGCTTGGGGAAGTAATCAAGTAAAATAAAGAGGTGGCTAACTTCACATTGGCTAAAAACCCACGGAAGTAAACAAGGTCACTAAAGGAAACTTTGTGGGAAACTTCTCCAAATCATGGGTAAAATTTTGATCTGCATCTTTGCTCTCCATGTCTTTACATGTATTTAGTAATTACGAAGGGGTGTAGATTTTTGTTGAGATAGAAATAGTCATTGATTACTTGTGTGCATTGTTGAGAGTGAGCAAAATAAATCTCTCACAATGTATTCTTAACACCTCATCTTGCAAGCAGGTATTAGGAAAACAAACTCAAAAGAAAATTTAAGGAAGACTATTTTTTCACACATTACATTATTTTGTACAATGACTACAGATGCCAAGATCCTGTTTTCATTCATCAAGTATAATAATGTCACAATAGTACAGAGGCCTCAAAGTGACCATCATGCACCAAAACTTCATCAAATCCATCAATCTCTGCATTCTAATTAACATCTACACTTCACTCTTGTATACAGTCTAATTCAGTGTTTTCAAACTTGAGTAACAATACATTAAAAATGGTTTATAGTATTCCTACCAAATAAAGTAGAAAAGGAATTTATAAAGTACATAATCCTCTTCAAAATCTGAATAAATGCCAAGAACTCATAGTTTTATTGAGTGTGTGTGTGTGCAGGTGTGTATGTGTGCGTGTTCATTCATGTCCTCATTATTTAAATTTCTCTTCTTTAGATAAACTCTTGAATGACTTACCTACAGATGAAATGATGATTCCCATGATTATTTCTAGGTATAGCCCCCTTCGTGTCTCATTTCTGACACCCACCAACAAAGACTTTCTCGAGAACTCGCATGACAAAGAGAAATATGAATCCCCTCCCCTTCAATTGTCTCTCATTTGGTTGAGTTCTAGATTGAGCTTCCTAGCAACAAGAGTCTCTCAGAATTCAGAAGGACATGGCAACAACCCCAGATTCCTCTTCACTCTGGCTCCTTTATCTCTATCAAACTTTATTGCTACATACTTCTCAATATAAATAGCTCTGACTTCCTTACCCTCATTGATTGTGTCCCAATAACCATTCAATATGAGTAAGACTTACTTTCATACTCCCATTCTATATGTTCCTCATATACAATATGCACTTTGCTCATACAGCTACCTTGGTCTCAGTTCACTTCAAAATTGTGCCACACTGTGGAACACTTGAAGGACATCAAGTTCCAGGGGAAAAAAAAATTGAGCTCATTTAAAACATTTCTGGAGACACCCAGACATCAGCATTCATTGGCATCTTTATTCCTAAGGCCAATGAGTGGCTCAGAGACATTGCATGTCTGCAGCTGGACTCTCTTGCCTTCCCCCTTCCCCACACTTTTATCACTAGTTCTTAAGGGACCAAACTTGATTTGATGGTTTTCATGTCTGTATTATTTTTGCTAGGTCTTTCATGGTAAAGGAATATAAAATATGTAGCCTGAAAAAAACCCAGAAATTTACTGTATAACAGTTTTAGAAGCCAGAAGTCCAACATGGTGGTATCCTCAGGCCCCTAGTGCCTCTAAAGTTGTTAAGGAATGATTTAGTTCAGCCTTCTCTCCCAGCTTCTGGTAGTTCCCTGGTCTGCAACCACATAATTCTAATCTCCACTCTCTGTCCAAGATGCTAAGAAAAAAACTGTCACAAGAGACACAGAAATTCATTATGTAATGAGGAAAGATTGATTCATCAGAAGATATATGACAACTATAAATATCTCTGTGTACAACATCAGTGCACCTAAATATCTGAAACAAATATTGGCAGGTCTGAAGAGAGACACAGACAGCAATATAATAAAAAACCTCAATACCCTGCTTTCCATTGTGGCTGTAATATTATACATATAGAATATATATATATATATATATATATA